CTGCTCTCAAGGAACTCCTTTTATTCTTCATTTTTTATCGACTTTCATTACTTCCATTATCATTACTAACACTAGTAAAACCCCGACTAAAACCCCCGAACCGGACTACCACCACCCACCGACTACCACCACCCACCCACCACCACCACCCACCCACTACCACCACCCACTACCACCACCACCACCACCAGGGTTGCGTGAGGCTCTTCGTGCCCTCGATGTAAGAATAGTCTTTCCAGATTAACGTGTGGGTCTCATGCAAGAGTCCAACAGCCTGGTGACGGAGAGGACCCGGCCTTACCTCACTAGGGGGGGCCGTCTGCTCGCCGTCCTCCTCCTCTTCCTCATGTTCTTCCTCTTTCTCCTCCTCCTGCTCACTAAACTAAAGCATTTTTCACCAAGAGGAAACATTCACAAGGACTAACAGATACTGCGTGTGTGTGTGTGTGTGTGAGAAAAGATGGGGCGATAGGGGGGGATATTGCGTGAGGGGGGTGGGGGGGGTTATTGCGTGAGGGAGGAATTGAATTAGAGTGATGTTGTGAGTTTCGTGCGCCGCGCCTTACATTAACATATGACCATTGATTCACACACGCCCGGGTTTACTTGTTGCGTTGCTGCCTTCTCCCACTCTTGTCTCTACAAGTATTTATAAAAGAAAAACAAGGGGATGATCCTTTTAAACGTCCACCTGTAAACATTAATTAATTGTGTAATATATTTAAGAAACGAGAATCATGGCAGGGGGATCAGAAACCCTTACAAGGGATCAGATCTCGGCTTTCCCGTCGTTAATAATATCCACTTTCGCCCGGTGCGCACGCCGCCATGTTGGCACAATAGACGCCGAGGCAGTAATAGGCGAACAAAAGACGACACGACGGATCCGATCGCCTTACCACCGCCACCGCTCTCAGATACACGAGCCAATCAAAGCCATCCGATTGCCTTCCCATGAACGCTAAATCCTCTCTGGGTGATGAAAGTTGGGCGCTTGTTTTCTAAGATAAGTTTAAGACCATTTTTAAGATATATATTGATCTGTATCGTCAAGAATAAGTCTTTGCTGAGCTGCCGACGTTGATTTCGTGAATGAACGTCTTGTGGACAAAAGAATTCAAGAAGGATCCGATCGTGTTCCACATACCGTATAAGGTCTGAGAGCAGAGGATCATGGACGATATGAGTTGATACGTTTTCAGATATAACTAACATGTTAATTTATTGGACATTAACTCAAGAAATTAGGTTAATATAACATGGTTAATATCACTACTTAGTCCCACCACCCAACACACACACACACAAACACACACACACACTACTACTACTACTAATACAACTACTACTAATACAACTACTACTACTACTACTACTACTACTTTGCTGTCACTCGGAATCAAGTATGACGATCATTCAGCTATGGTAAAATGATATGGGTTATTAGGGATGTCACCAAGGTTAGTGAGTCTTGAGGTGACTAAAGAGACCGATACGGGACCCGCAGCGTCGTCCACATTCGTTGCACATGTGGAGGGCTCCATCTACTGTGGGAGGGGCGGTGGCAGCGTCTACACACACACACACACACACACACACACCGCACTTTTATCTCAGCTTAAAAGTCTAATTACAGTAAGGAAGTCAGGTAGCGGAAGGTGGACTGAACTCGTCAAAACCAAGGAAACTGACCATAATAGCAACTGATTTGTAATTTGTCAGTATCATTATCAAGTCCCATTGTCCAGAGAGGTGCCCTTCGCCTAGGCTGTCTCGCTCCACCTCCTCTCTCTTACCCTGATTTCCTTTCCTTAACAAAAAAAAAAAAGTCCCATTACAATGCCGTCTGTTTTGGGTGGCCTTTCAATATCAGGTGAGATGTGGAACAGCTGTGAGACATGGAGGGAGACAGACAGTGAGAGAGTGAGAGATATAAAGAGTTGTGTCTCACTGTGTGTGTGTTAGGGACTAAGAGTTACTGTTCGTACATCTGTGTGTGTGTGTGTGTGTGGGTGGGTGGATGGGTGGGTGAGAAGGGCGTATACGGAGCGTGGCCACAGGTAGAGAGCAAACACAGTGACTCAATGCTCTCCCTTCTCCCTCCCTCTCCCCCTCCCCTCGGTTGCCAGCTACTGTGATGTATCCTGACGTTCCTTGGCTACATAATTACCTTTGTTCTTCCACCTTGGCGCTTGTGTCATCATCTTCACCTGCGGGGAGGCCAACCACTCCTCCTCCTGTCTGCCGTCTCTTCCTCCTCTTCTTCTTATTCTTCTTTATTCATTAACTTCGCCACATTCCGGAGATTTATATGTTTGTTTTGATTACACAGGAATCTCGACCTGTTTGGATTCTTCGTGTTGTTGACCTTACGGCGTTCATCTCCTGACTTTACTAAACATTAGAAATTATATATTTTTTCCCCCACTGTTTTATTTATTTTTATTTTTTGGCCGAGGTGGGAAGTCACACCAGGACACTAATATACATTTAAAATTCATCGCTAACAAAAGTGTGTGCAAACTCATTGGACAGAAGAAAGATGCAACGTTTAAAATGCAGGTAGCAAGACCCAGCAGGTTGACACACAAATTATCGTTCAATCGTCCCCATCAAACACTGGGATTCAACAGTGAATTTGCATATTGAGGTGGCCACCGCTGCGGGCTGTGGAATTGATACCTTCTACCTGACAGATACTGTTTTGATTGTCTGCTCTCTCTACACCTCGTTCCTCCGACAAGGTTATAATGATATGATTGTCGACCGATTAATTCCACCGTGTTATGAAATTTACCTTCGGGATAACGTAAATGAATAATGAAAACGTCAATAGATGTTATTTGAGTTTCTTCTCATCAACTTCAAAGGTTAAAGACTATTGATCTAGATTATTTTCAATTTTCTCACGACCATAATTATTACCCCCCCCCCCTCCCCACACACACACAAAAAAATAGGCTCATCGAAATAATGCCCAAATCTCTAAATATAATCATTTATAATCTGGGCTCTTATTTTCGACCACTCTTTATAAGCGAGAGTCAACGAATTCCAAATCCCACAATACAAATTTATAAATAGTGAAAAAATACCCCAACAAATCCAAGACCATTTTATATAACGAAGAATATTATTGGTAGGTCTTAATAGAGAGACGGAGAGGACAATAGGCCACGTGGGTCGAGTCTGCAGATGCACGGCTGTTGAGTTATTGCTAATAGGAGCTCTATTGATTGCAAAATTATAGGCGTGAGCTTCCGTCAAAGTAGACTGGGCCTGAAACCTCCTATTGATGCCCACAAAAGAGTTGGATCCTGCAAGTCACGGGTGTTAATTCGAATCAGCTGGAATGATCGTCTCCATTCAGGTGAAGAATTCTTGTTTTTAAAGGTATCATGATTTGTCATTTATTGTTGTTTTAAATAATTTTTCTCTGAAGTTTGCGTCTTGGAAGTGTTACGTCACTGAGAAGAGTTTTGTTGAAATGAAGTGATTACCTGAAGATTAGACACCCCAGCTTATTTCATCTGAAGATTAATCAATCTAACCTTACTTAACCCCAGGTAAAGGTAAGGTGATTAGTCTTCAGGTGAAATAATCTGGAGTGTCTAATCATCAGGTGATCTTAATTAATGATCCAATTTAACGAAGACTGACACAACACCTTAAACTATCTCCATCAACAAGACAAAATCCCCCTAAAACTCAGCTCAAAATCTGCTAAAACAAACCCTAAAATATCCCTTAAAGGCGACGATTTGTAGGGACACCTAAACCCCCTTAAGACGGGGACGACTCCATGACGAGCGCCTCCATTTCCCCCTTTGTTAGACGCCGATCAAGGACAATGATTCGCGGGATGTATTGTGTAGAAGGGCCTGTTTACCCAACACCAGTAGCGTCTCGCATCAATGGGTTCCTGATGGACTTGGCCGGCTCGCTGAATATTAAGCAGGACCTCCCGAGTGGCCGCCGCGGGTCGAGAAAGGTAGTTGGAGAAGGGAGAGAGAGACAGATAGAGAGAGAGAGAGAGGGGGGGGTAGAGAGAGAGAGAGAGAGACAGTTGCTGGTGGTAAGGTTGCTCTCTTGTCTGTGTGTGTGTCTGAGCGTGTGTGTTGAACGCTGCTGTTACACCCAACTTGCCGCAGATACTGGGAGGAGGTTGGAGGGAGGGGGTAGGAGGAGTACCACAGTCTGGAGGAGGTAATGAGGTGTTTCACAGATAGACGGGAAGGTGCTGAGATGTAGTACCAAGGAGGGAGACACTGAGAGCGGTCAGGGGTACCATGGACGGAAGAAATGGTAGTGGTAGACTGGGTATTAGGAGCTGTGCTATAGAAGGTCCTGAAGGTGGAGGGGGTGGTATTCCATATGTGAAGACGATGATGTAGAGTGCCATGGAGAGAGAGACAGAGAGAGGCAGAGAGAGAGAGGGAGAGAGAGGGAGGGAGGGAGAGATGTCCTGGGGGGTGCAACAGAGAGAGAGGGGAGGTAGAGATAGAGGTAAGAAAGATGGTTCCCCACATTAGAAAAAAAAATATCGTGTTAGAGAGGGTGAGGTGGGGGGGGGAGTGAGAGCAGCGTGGGGTTTACAGGGTTGGAGGCGCTGCGGGGGACCTCCACAGCGGCCAACACACCTGGGCGGTGAAGGGGCGACCCACTGACGCGAACCACGGGGAGAAAAATTGCTATGTTGGAACCGCTATCGTCACCCAACGTTACATTACCGGTATATCTGTTTCAAGGATGGACACACGTATGGTTGCTGTTCGTGTTTGGGGGGAAATAAACGGTGTAACTATTTTTATCTTTTACTATATCGTGTTTACGTGTTGATTGTTTTAACTGTTTATGAGAAATAATGTTGTGTATTATTTTATAGAATTGTGCACAGAGGACACACACACACACACACACACACACAGAGTTATAATACTACAGGTGTAACTGCTAACATAAGGACAATATAACTAAAAGATTAGTTTTTACTTCCCCAGGAACATCCGGGAAGGAAGGATGGGGCCGGAAGGTCTCGGTCTGCCCCCTCGGTCGCTAGAGAGCCTACTGGCCGACCGCTCAAAAGCAGAACACGACCTCAAAATATCCACCTCGGAGTTCGGTAAGCAGTTTCACGAGGTCTACGGTAAGTAGCCGGAGGCATTAATACTTGTTTCTCGATGTTGATTAAGGCTGCTGTCGACTTTTATTATTTTATTTCTTCCTCGGGGCTTTTAGTGGTTTTAAAAGATATCTAAGCGAGGGAGGAAAGGAGGGAGGGGAGGATGTTGATGGTAATTTTCTTAGAGAATTTACTTTGATTTATAAAGGTTGTGCTGTGTGGTGGGACGTGTTCACTGTGCGGGTTTAGTTTTATTAAAGATTCTACTGGTGTTATGTTTATCTTCCACTCTTGTTGACTCTCTTTAAGTTCTTGTTGTTGTTTACGCTGGTAGTGCCTGCATGACTATAGCCTGGTAGCTACTCTCTCTCTCTCTCTCTCTCTCTCTCTCTCTCTCTCTCTCTCTCTCTCTCTCTCTCTGAAATTATATTGACATGATAAATAGATATATAGATATTACATTTATATACTGTATTATGTATTAGTGGATGTGTCGGGTGTAAGGAAGAGGGAGGGAGTATACAGTGGTCATCATACCTTCCTGATACTGAGGGAGGAGTGTGTTATGGAGTGATTACCATGGTGGTGATGACACAGAGGGACACACCAACCACATAACACACAGGTGGTAATGACCTGCACACACCTTCCTTACAGGTCCACTGCCTCCGATGGGCCACGCGCACCTCCACCCTCCGCTGAGGCCACACCTTCCACCCCCTCTCGCACCTCCCCCTATGGCCTCCCCCCTTCAGCCCCTGGCACCGCACCCCCCGCCAGGCACTCCTCTTCACCACCTCTTGGGGGAGGAGTGGCGACGCTCCCTGGAGAGGTCAGCACAAGAACGCCATCACCTCAACTCAGGTTAGTTGCACCTCTTACACCTGTCATGATGATAATAATAATAATTTTGGTAATTATATAGGACTAACCCGCGAGCGAAATTGATTGAAAACAATCATAAAAACGCCGGAATTTCATTGTTATATTATAGTGGACACTGTTGTAGTTTGTGAAATATGTTAAAAAATGTATATTTTTAAAATAAACGGTACTTAACATTTGTGGCTATGAAGACAACCTAACCAACCAAACCAAACAAACCTACCTAACCTTACCTAACTTCCCCGGTATATTAAACAGAAAGAAATTACTATGATATGGTGAAATTTGAGGCATTTTCTGGACGTGAGATGATACAGCCGCATCGGCGCTTTGCAGCCCTGGCGGGTTAGTCCTATATATTAACCATAATTTTTAACACTAAACATATTCCTCCAACATGTTAGTTTGATAAAGTCATAATTATTATATTTGGGTCAGACATAAACTCATCACTGTTGAAGATTATAATTGTGGTTACTTGATCTTAAGAACTATAACGTCACTGTACGGGAGAACGTGTCTGGGGCTTACCTTTCATAAAATCTTCATTGCTAGTTGGAGGTAAACGTCAGGCGCTGGTGAGTGCTCGTGCCAGCGATGTTGTTTAAGGTCAGGTTGTAAGATGACTCGGTTGTTGCCACAGGTCAGATGTCCCCCGACAGCGGAGGAGGTCAGGTCGAGCGCTCGGACTCCAGGGACTCTCCCCTCGGTGACGTCAGCATGAAGAGTCCTTCCTCCCTCGTCAATGGCTTCCCCCACGAGACCAAGAGTCCCTTCCAGTCCAGGGACGACCGCTCACCCTTCAAGGAGGAGATCCCCTCCCTGGCCTTCAAGTTCGAAGACCGGATTACTGGAGAGTCACTCATTCCCAAGGGCGACCCCATGGAGGCCCGGCTGCAGGAGATACTGAGGTGGGTGTGTGTGTGTGTGTGTGTGTGTGTTTTCGGATTAGTGTTTGCATGGCTGCCTATGTACACTTACAGTACTCCTTAATGTACTGTACCTCACATTAGTCTATCCACTATCTAGTTAGTGGTTCACCATATACTTAAAAGGCGTTTACCATTTACTTAAGAATTATGATCACAAAGTAACACTATGAGAAGTCAATCGTGCCCCTCCGCCGTCCTCACCCCACCACACCCTACCCCACCCCACCTCACCCCAAATCCACACCACCTCCCTCATCTCACTCCACCTCCACACAACTCATCCCAGCTCTCCGTCACCTCCCCACAGCTCACCCAAGCTCCCCCCCCCCCTTACTTCATCCCAGTTCACCCCAGGTCGTGTCTCTCCCCACAGGTTCAACATGGAGAAGTTTTGTCAGCAGAACTTAGACACACTCAACCTGGCCCGACGAGTACGGGAACTCCTCTCCATTCACAACATCGGCCAGAGACTGTTTGCAAAATACGTTCTTGGGCTTTCACAAGTGAGTTATGTGAGATGTGTTCTTTTAGTGCTTATAAGTGAGGGCTTTTTGTATATTAGGTTTTTATTCACGAGTGTGTTTTGTGGAATAAGTTTTGATAAGAATCTTATAAAATTTGGTTATTTTTGTCTCCCAGAAGTCATTTTCGAATCCCCTGGTTATTTTACCTAAAATATTAACCACCTTAACTCTACCTGGTGGGTTAGGGTTAGGTTAGGTTAGATTTAGTGCTAGGATGGTTAAACCTCATGTGAAATAAACCATGGAGACGGAGGGAATGAATCGTCAGGTGATTCGAACTTATCAGAGTCATTATTCGTAATTATAAAACTCGGATACTGATTCACGAAGACCTAGTGAACTTCCATGTAATGTTGGGCCTTTAGTTAGCTATTGTTAGGGAGATCTGTGTTATTATTATTTATTTGCATTTATATTATTACAAACTCTACTGGCCTCCGGGTCACCAAGTTAGTTGTTTGGGTATTTATTTTTATCTTGTATTATTTCAAGTGACTGCTTTTCCTTCTCGTTCGTGGTGCTCCGTTTCGTGTACTTTCACCACCAAACTTTCCAGTGTCATCTTTTTCCCTCTCTAACCAACCTCCTATTCATCCTCTCCCTTTCTCTCTCTCTACCCAACCATCTGTCCATCCTCTCTCTTTCTACCTAACTTTTTGTTCGTCTTTCTTAATCCATTATATCCCAGGATTACTCCCTTTCTTCTATATGTCTTTTGCATCCATCTATTCTTCCTTAATATTCTGTTTTCCTCGTCCTCCCCTAAACTATTTCTTTTTCTAACGTTTTCTCGACACAGTTTAACATATTTTGTTTGACTTTATTTCTAAGTCTTCATTCTGTAGCTCCTCGTTGTCAACATTCTGTGGCGTGAATGGTGGTGTTTGGTGTACCCGCAGGGCACCGTGTCTGAGCTCCTGTCCAAGCCTAAGTGTTGGGACAAACTGACCGAGAAAGGGCGAGATTCTTACCGCAAGATGCACGCCTGGGCTACCGACGACAACGCCGTCTTCCTCCTCAAGTCCCTCATCCCCAAGAAAGGTGAGTACTGAAAAGAATCCTTTGACGTTTATTGAAAGTATGGAGGTGAGGATATATATTTAACTGAGGTGTAACAGTCAGGAAGCATTGTTGTTTGATGGTGGTAAGTTTGAAGAAGGGAGATTCTCCTTAGTATTTACAAGGCATTTGAGACTGCAAGCTTTGAATAAATGGGCGGAAATTTTGACCTCCGAAACGTCATCCGAATTCCTTACACGGAGTAGGTGGTTTTAGGTCGTGTTCCGGGCTATCATTTATGGTTATTAATGACTCAGAACGGAGTGGGTTGAGACAAGGGGGAATTGGTGATTCTTTAAACTCTCTGTATGGAAGTCCTTAGGGGGGGGGGGAGGCTAGGGATGGGCATTTTGTCGTTGTTTTAGACTTACTGAACAATCTGGGCATGGGTTTATAGTGGTCATTTGAGAGCTTATATACGGATTTTTGTGAGGGTGGCGGGGACAAGTGGGAACCTTCCAACATACAGCTACCGGTAGAGGAACACGCACATTAAGGATCGTAGAACTCCTTGTAGGATTTTACCCAAGAAATAACATTGATCCTATAGACATACTTCAGCAGCCATAGCTCGGGTAGGTAATAGCTCCTGAATAGCCATAGAGAGAGGTGAGGAGAATAAGTGTCACCACTCAGCCTGTACTTGTATAATAAACGATTCAGAATGACGACTTTACCACCCCGAATACAACCTCACACAGAGTGGAAATGACGCGAGCGATAATGAATAAATTTGAGGTAACGGAAGAAGAAGGGAGTGTCAACAAACAGACACAGACAGTAATGCCCACAGTATACGAGACATAAAGAAAGAGACGGACATAAAAACTCAGAGTTAAAGACTTGCTTGTTGCAGGATTTCCACGTCATTGCAACTTGGTCGACTCATTTGTCCAATCCAGAACTTGGCCAGATGACCCAAATTACAGGGCAGGAGGAAAATAAGTTACATTAACATACTCCGCTCACCAGCCCTCGCGTTGCCATGTTCCACCTACTTTTTTAATCCGGGTTTTCTCCTCCTCCTCCTCCTCCTCCTCCTCCTCCTCCTTCTTCCTACTCTTCTTCCTTTTTCTTATTCCTTGTGTCATGTAGTGCCGAAGGTTTTATATTGATGTACGTCACATTACCCAAGTGTTTATTGTTGTTTTAGGGAAGTTTTAGGTTAAATATAAGAAGATTAAACCACGAGGAAATACTGAGGTTGTTGACAGTGTTGGAGAGAGAGGCAACCCGGCACTTCCTCCGTGTTATATTCTGTCTTCATTTGTTTTCTCCGTTTGCTTCGATCACTTTTCTTATAATGGATGATGATGATGATGATGATAATGACGAGGGTGATAATGGCGGAGTACAAGCTGGTGGAGGTAAATACAAACAACATGGCCGCCTCCTCTTGGTGTGGCAGCGCTAGACCAATTATGTAAAAAGAAGGGACTTATGGGCCGCTTGTATGAATATTCAGAGCTACAATGCAGGACCACATCACGTCGTAAACTTTGTGAAAATCACTGAAATAAATCATCGTTTGCAATTTTCACCCGGCCGGTTGAACATGCATGCAAGTCCAACCTTATGACAAAGACAGATTAGAGCCAAAGTTGCATGACATGTAATGAATGTTGCAATTTAAGGAGTCGGGACTGTCAGCAAGGCTTCAAAATACCACTGTTTCATTAACCTGATTGTGAAGCGCTGTCTGTCAATGCCCTTTGATCCTATATACCATCAAACAAATGCAATATAATCTCGTGTAAAGTCTCCCAAGACACGTTTATTAATGACTAGGAAGTTCTTCGATATATATATATATATATATATATATATATATATATATATATATATATATATATATATATATATATATATATATATATATATATATATATATATATGTGTGTGTGTGTGTGTGTGTGTGTGTGTGTGTGTAGACCTCTGACTCTCATCTAAAATTCAGGGAAAATTCTGGAGACATTTTCCTGTGTTTTGGCGACGTCCGCGGGTAATATACTGAAAGCGGTTGAGTCTCCGTTCATCCGGACTCGTTTTCTATTGGGTCAGTCCTTACTCGTGAGGGAGGTTGAGGACCAAATGACGCTCCTGGTCCTCATTCTCAAAGATTCTTAAATCGTAAGTAATTTTTTCTCCCTAAGTATGAACAGGGGAACTTACCTAGTTACAGTAGAGTCTTAAATGTAACTTTCCCACCAATTTGAGCGCAGTATTGTAGCTTTAGAATATAGGAGTATTTAATTAGATTTGTTCCCACATCTTGATTTAAGTGACAAGCTCAACCTAGGAATCTTGAGACAACGTGAGAGCTGGGGTGTTGGTTTACAGGGCGGTGGTGGCATCACTCATGTCTTGAGGTACACATAACAAATTTCATAATTATAAGGTTGTGGTTACCGGCACCATTCACCTCTATGGTTTACGAGGGTCGACGCCACACCAGATGTAGCTTACGAACTCTTGCAATACTTGATGCAACACAAACAACTATGCAAAATAGAGCACGGGAATAGTTTATACAAGTCCCTCTGGTACTTTACATGAACCAGCCTGCGATCCGGTTGACTTATTACCATACAGAGAAAGGAAATGAACTCACAGACATAAAGAAGTGTATTAAAACGTGTTTATAATAGCGAACGTAGACAGCCATCGACGATCATCCCTTCATTACCTCCCCGGGGAAAATACATAAATGGGTTATCACGTATAGATATTAAGTGATTATATGGGTATTCTTACGTCCTACACGACCTTAAAAGAGAGGATATAAGCACGTAGGTACAAAATAACTGTAATAAAAATCTAAGCACGTCAGCATTTAGTGAGAGGCTCGCTCGCTGGGGACCATAACACGGAACCAGAAAAAAAAAAGAGGGTCGGGCAGGGTGAAGCTGAGAGAGCGCCATTCACTCCGAGTATGTAGTGTGTCGTTGACCAATGACTCGATTAGTCTGGTTTTCGCGCGTCATCAAAGGCTTCTCTCTCTTGCCAATTAACGAGTCGTTGTTCGATCTCGTAATCTGATTTGAATTTCCCGCTATTAATGGTTATGCTGGCGTCGGTCACAGAGAGGATGAGGATGATGAGTCTAGCTCGGTGTTGTTGGTTTAACCGACCTCTTCTGAACAATACTCACTGTTGCTCTTCATTTTTTTTCCTACATTTTTAATCGTCTGGTTGGTTATTTACGCTCGCTCTCTTAACTATGTTTTGGGAGGCTGGGTAAGGAACGCCTCAACGATTCTTCAGTCAACTTCATCGTTAGAAAAAGAAAATAAAGACTCTACTAATCTAAATATAAGAAGATGTTGGCCATCAACTTTCGTCCAATTACGAACGCACAGTATAATTAGGGTTAATGAATGAACCCCTCAGTGTTTACATACAAATGAACCGATACGTGACGAAGTATACGTTGGAGCGTCTCGCCAGCTTTTTACAGCACCACTTTTAAAGCAACATCAATGGCGTCGTTATAAGCAGTTGTCCCGAGTTTGTGTAAAAGGCTTAATACTTCTCCCCATTTTTTCCTATATTTTTGTTGTTTTACTAATTATAACCTTCTTGCCGTAGCCGTAATGACCGCCATACATCATCGTATTATTAACCCGACCGTAACAGTCTTTAGTGGCATGCTCGACTCATTTACATACGAGCAATAATGAGCTAATAATTGCTGAGCTTACCGACCCTACGAGAGCTACCAAGGGTTCCGTGTTCCTCCTCCTCCTCCTTCTTCTTCTTCCTATCCTCACGGGTGTCTCCTCGCGGCAATAATGTGTTACCCTTCACTCCTGTTATGGGATGCATTTTAGCCTTTAGTAATCCGTTGTATAAGGACTACTTTTGTGATGGTCATGATGCTGGTAGTTAGGGTAGTGAAGGTGGTCATCTGAAGAGAGGAAGTAGGTACAAACGTGTGTGGTGATGGTGGTAGGTGGTGGTGGTGGTGGGTGGTGATGGTGGTAGGTGGTGATGGTGGTAGGTGGTGATGGTGGTAGATGTAACTGTGTGATGTATTGTGACTCCTTGCGTCCTAATGTATGATCCTGACGATGTTTTGATCACTGATGTTTTATACTACGACTCCCCATCCCGCCCCACCCCGCCCCGCCCCGCCCCGCCCCGCCCTGCTCCAAAGTTTAACCGGGGGAACCTTTAAGAATAGATCGATTTAACCTGAACTTCCAGATAATGAGAACATCAACCTTAAGCCGCTTCGATAAACAGATTAAAAGTCCTGTTGAAATGTGTGGCCATTGTGCCTTCCTGACAGTGGCGGTGACGGTGGCTACGGCTGGGCACTGCTGGCGGAGATCTCAGCCCCGTCAGTACATTATCCACTACCTGGGATTACACGATCAAACACAGACAGGTATAGAGTGACCGGCCAGTGTGAGTTTCCAGCCAGTGTGACACTTATAGGGTGTCCGGCAAGTGTGACGTTACTGAATAGATTAGGCAGAGTGACGTTGAGTGACCGGTGAGTATGGTGTTAGAGTCACCGGCCAGTGTCGCGTTGAGTGTCCAGCTAATTGTCTCGTTGAGTGACCGATCAGCGTAATGTTATAGAATAAGTGACCAACCAGCGTGACGTGATTAGAGTAAGTAACCAACCAAAGTAACGTAGTTAAGAGTGACCAGCCGGAGTGAAGTGGTCCTCCATCCCAGCCCCCACTAGCCCCCCCACCCCACCCACCCGATCCTCACATCACCAACCCCTCCCAGCCCCCACAGCCAGCCCCGCCCCCACCAGCCCCCCACCCCACCCACCGATCCTCACATCACCAACCCTCCCAGCCCCACCACCCCACCCACCGATCCTCACATCACCCCCCCCAGCCCCCACTAGCCCCCACCCGCCCGATCCTCACATCACCAGCCCTCCCAGCCCCACTAGCCCCCACCCCACCCACCGATCCTCACATCACCAGCCCTCCCAGCTCCCACTAGCCCCACCCACCCAC